CAAAAAAAAAAAAAAATAGGCTCAATGCCTATAGCTCAGCCACTAGGGTGCCAGCCACAAACACCAAAGCTGGTAGGTTCAAACCAGCCCAGGCCTGCCAAACAACAATGACAACTACAACCAAAAAGTAGGCACTGTGGGAGGTGCCTGTAGTCCCAGCTGCCTGGGAAGCTGAGGCAAGAGAATCACTTAAGCCCAAGAGTTTGAGGTTGCTGTGAGCTATGACGCCATGGCACTGTATTGAGGGCGACAGAGTAAGACTCTGTCTCAAAAAATAAAATAAAAATAAATAAAAATAAAACTTCCTGTGAAAGGCAGACATTTCATAATGTTTTTAACTCTCTTATTCAACTGGACATGTTGCTTCTCAGTAAAGGAGACTGATGGGGGATAAAACACAAGCTTTCCCAGCACTCCCAGGACCTGCTCCCACTATCATGGCTGAGAAGCCCCAGGCAGGAAATTGGCATGTGCCTACCACACTCACTATTTCTAAATCTAATGGAATTTTGTTTCTAAATATTAGTCCAAAAAAGATTGTACATGCATATATAGAATCCCAGAAAAAAGGACTCACCTTTATCTGTTCTTCTTTAAGAAACCAAAGGTGACCTGGAAAACATCTCTCAGAAAATGGATATCCCATCTTCTGCAGAGACAGGAGAAATAGTTTTGAAAAGGGAAATGGAAATTGTTTTGGGGAAGACCCTCTCTACCAAAAAGGAAGCCAGCTAGGAGACCCCGCTCTCTCTGTCCTGAAGCTCTATGCTGCTCCTCTGCATTTCTCTCACTCCTTTTTTCCTTGGTAGAGGGCACCACCACCACCCCCCCACACACACACACACACACCAACACCCCTCTGTCCCAGGGTCAGCATGTCCTTTTGTCCTTCCCTTCCCAGAGAAAAGGGGCCTGGGCTATGAATGAAGAGGGCTGAAGCAGGGACTTACTGGAGGGCGGGGCGGTGGACAGGGCCGTCTCTTGGCCCGGTGCTTCCGAGGGTTGTACTTAGCCAGCTGATACTCATCAAACTGGGCAAATTTGTCAGTCATGGCAGCACGGAGGCAGGCAGGCAGGGGCACCAGCTTGTTCTCATCTCTTTCAGCCAGGCTCTGTCAGAGAGAAAGAAGGTATTCAGAAACAAGACCTGAGCAAATCCTCCAGAACAAAACAACTTCATGAAGCTATAAGAGATCAAAGAATAGGGAGCAAGTTCCTAGCCCCAGCTCTAATACTACAAGTTATGTGGTACTAGTCAAGTCAGCAGACTTCTCTGATTCTCAATTTCTTCATTAGAAACATGAGGTCCAGGCCAGGCACAGTGGCTCACAAATAATCCTAGCACGCTAGGAGGCCCAAGTGGGTGGACTGCTTGAGCTCAGGAGTTCAAGACCAGCCTGAACAATAGCAAGACCCTATTTCTACTAAAAATAGAAAAACTTTGGTGGCGCAAAGGATTAGGGTGCCGGCCCCATATGCCAGAGGTGGTGGGTTCAAACCCAGCCCCAGACAAAAACTACAAAAAAAAAAAAAAAA